ATAAATCATATTGATTTTTTTCATTTCTCTGTCTATTAATCTTGATTTTTTATAAGTTTGTAAGCCATGACAAGGAATATTAAATATTCATAAATATTCTTTAGGTATTTTTAAAAATATATCTAAATATATTTGGGCTTGTAAATCTATATATAAAAATTTATCCAATTTTACCCAATTACCCATCTTTTTAGTTTTGAAGAACTGAGCTCCCATTATCAACCTACCTGAAAATCTCAATAGCACCTAAAATATTTATGTGGTTTTTTCTAAACAGTTTTTAATTGACTTTTGGGGGAACAGTAGTGAGTAACTTCTGTTTGAGGTTAGTCTTTTGAATGGAATTGTAGCAAGCAGACTGGTTCATACTTGTTTACTGTCTCTGCTCAGATATTAATGGCTTATCTGTTTAACTTCATCTGTTGCAAGTGTCATAGAAAAGAATGTTTAACAGAGGATTTTCTGACTATGATTCAGTTTTTGTTGCACAAAACTGGATTGTGTTGGTGCTCTTTCATTGTGCATTTCACCCCTGCAACATCTGTTCTGGCCCAGAAGGCAGTTTGAACTTTGTGTGACTTCCAGCTCCTCTCATCAGGGAAAATGACGCTTCAACAGATGTAGGAAATGAATTCATGATGACACAAAGACTGTTTTGTCTCACTAAAAATAAAACACTCTGTAATCTATAAGACAGAAATTGAAGAAGGAATCCATAATAGTTCAAATAAAACTTTAGAACTTTAAATCAGAACTGTATTTTCTACTGACAAATCCAAATAAAGGCTAATGTGATAAAATGGAAAGTTCATTTATACTGAACTACTTAATTAATTGTGAAACTTTCTGCCAAGCAATTATGAGTGTAACATCTCTCAGTACTGTCATACCATGGAGAAGTGATGCTTTATGATTTATTAGTAGGCAGCCCACTAGAAAAATGAAAATAACCAAACTCTTTAGGGTTTAAATTTATGTTTGTGATCTTTGCAGGTTCAGTTTGTCTTTCATATGATTTTACAAAACTTGCAGACAAGTATTAACTGGCCTAATAGATCCTTCTTCCATTCAATGGAATTGAATGGAAGAAGGATCTATTAGGCCAGTTAATCCACCTCTATTCATAAGAAAAAACTAGGACTACATTGTTTACAGGATATTGGGATATTAGGAAAGGATGAATAAGAAATTTTTGTAGTTTATATTAAACTGCAAAAGATGTAAAAGAACCCCAAAAAGTACATGTAAATGAGTAAATTTAAACATTAAATGAATTGCATTAAAATAGTCTGTTTGGATTAATTTTTCACTATAGGTTCTCACACACATAGAAAAAAATTATTCTTCAGCATTCTCTTTGTTCCCAAGGGATTGCAAATGCATTAGGTGGTTTTAAATGCTACAAGTCTCACAGACTTTACAAGCTCAACAACATCATCATTTCATTTTCAGGACAGGATAACAGGATTTTTCCCCATAGATAGTTCACAAGAGAGATGTCTCAGTATGTGGTAAAAGTCTATATTTTTTTCCTAAGATTTCATTGTGGGATTGCTGTTTAACAATGATAATTTTAATAGCTATGTCTTGATCTATAATGGTCATCTCTTGTTTAATATTTGACCACATGCCATTCCCTCTTCAAAGGTCTAAAGTGTTGGGGGTTTTTTGTTTATGTGAAAGAACCAATAGTACCTTAGGTGAATTATGATATCTCCAAACATGGTTTCCATTGGGTCATTCCACCTCTCAAGCAAGGTGCAAGCAACTTTAAATAAACTTTAATTCAGCTGTATTTTATATTGTTTTTTAATGGAAGTGGTATACTGTTCCCAATTATTTGATTACTCATGAAAATAACTTAGATCAAACTTTTACTAATAGAAATGTAACTTTATGGCTTGTGTAATGATTTTTTTGGATTTGAATTTCTTACTTTGCTGAATAAGTAGTTGAGAAAGTTTAAAATATTCATATTTTTAAAAATAACTAACATTTGCCCTAAAAGAAAATTTCCTTGAACAGTCTGATACCTAACAAGTTTATTGTATATTTACTAGTTTATGTTTCCTCATATCAGCTTAGAGGTCCAAAAGGCTCTAAAATACATTATTAAAAAAAAACAACCTCACAAAGTATTTTTTCAATAGTGTTTCAAAGTATATTTAAATTATAAATTATTGGAATTTTAAGGGAGAATCAATTTCTTCAAGGGTTGTGTAATTTTCACTCAAATCCCATTCACTTTTATCGGGCATCAGTGCACTTGAACATAATATTCTTTGAATTCTGCATAATAAAGGGTAGAAAGATTAATTGGGTGAGTGGTTGCCCTGGGATTGAATTTGATACCTATTAAAAACATATTAATTTCTTAATGCCAAGGATAATGAAGCCTAGTTTTCTAAGCATATATTAAATAGAAGTTAAATAATTTACCGAAAACGAAACCACATCACCCAAGTAAGCTTGCTTACTGAATGATGTCAAAAGAACACCAATAGTGAAAGAGGTAGTTTTTGTCAGAGAACCTACACTAAACAGAATTTGGACCTTCCCAAAGAAAACAGTCGTCTCAGCTGAATCTTGCTGTCTGCTTGTTTTTCTTAGAAGCCAGTTCCAAAGATATCCAAATGGGTGTCCGTAACTGTCGCTGCTTCCCTTAGCTCCATGCTGATCCCAAGTTGTGCCTTGTTTTGTCTTCAGACCTGCATCCTTTCCTTTTTACTGCCTTCCCATTTGAGAAGAGAATTTGCAGTCCAACAGGTTTAGGAAGACCCCTCTACAGCTGAGCGATGTCTAATGGTTCAAAAGTAAATTCAAAGTTTTTCAGATGTATTGATGTAGCATGAAACTGTTCATTTATGCTGTATGCAATTTATATTGTGGAAACTATAACAGAATACGATATGTTTTGTTGTTGGTGTCTTTCCAATGCAGACAAAAGGAATTTTTTCAAGTTTTATCAGTGCTGAGGTGAGATTTTTTTTTTTAAGAAATGGAATTAGCAAGAAGATGTTGGGTGGATTTATTACTTGAAGCAGAGCTTTAATCAATATTTTTTTCAAATTTTTATTTAAATATCCTCTCCTTTACCTTTTTAGTACCTTGTACACTTTTTATATTTATATATTTAAATATAAATTTGTATAGTATACACTTTGAAAGTGTTGTAATATATTGCTAAGGGACAGTAGAAGTACACATGTGAGTGACTTATTGCTGCAATTTTTGTTATTTCTCAGTGATGGCACCTCACTTCTGCTGCATCTTCACAGACACCCGTGGCAGATTTGTGATGTTCTGAAACCCGAGGGCTACTGCTGCTAATGGGACTGAAATCAATTAGTCTACTAAATATTAGTCCTTATGAATGCAGTCATCTGTCTCCATGTTTAGCAGTACAAATGGACCTCTCATTACTGTTCTTACTTATCTTCCTTGGTGATTTTTAAAACCATTAAGGAATAATTCAGCAGAATCCTCTTAGTGCATTACAAATGATAATAATTCCTTTATAATGACTGATCAAAAGGGAAGGGATTGGTTGTATCACCTAGTTCCAGTAGTGCTCTTTTATTTTGCTGTGAAATTGGACATGTACCAGAGACTGAGGGAAGCCCCGAACGAATTCACTTTTTCCCAGAACAGCTGTACTAAACTGGCATTACACTCCCCAGACTTTTGCTTGAATACATCTTTTACATCTTGTCTTTTTTCCTCTTTTTTTTTTTTTTTTCTGAATAGGTAGTTAGGTGATATTCTTGGAAACATGGGAAGAGAAAGTACTTTTTCTATCTATCAAGATCTATCAAGGAGGTACTATTTATTTCTGGGCTTAGTTTAACATAGGTAGCACTTCTACTAAATATTTACAATATCTCCACTGATCTGATAAAATAAGCATTCAGCTGTGTAATTAAAGAGATTCACAACAGCCTGATTCAAAGAACTCCATTTTTTATCAATCCATTAGTTAGAGTACAGTAATAATTTGAGTTGTGATTACATTTCTGCCATCTTCATCACAGCTTATACTATCTGTAGCCCTTGAGACAGATTCAGAATACAGTGACATTTTCTGAATGTGTTGTCTCCTTGCAATATTTTGCTTTCATTAAGTAACAAATGAGTATTCTCCTAGCTTCATTTGCCTGACTACTAAAAAGCAGAGATTTCTAGATTAATAACTTGAGCAATATTTTTACTTCTAGGTTGCAAGAAGCAATATTTTTTAATTACATCAAGCAGAGCTAGGAAAATGGCGAGGCTGGGAAAATGGGACAGATGGTTTTATATTTTTCTATTTTGTGAATATTAAAGTACCATATGTATTAAAGTACCATATGTAGAAAAAAAAAAATTTCCTTTTGGTTTCAGAGATGTAGCTCCACAGAGTTTATGTAGTTACACTCATGCTAAGAAATTTAATTGAATTTGAGACCTCTGCCAAAGCTGTGTTGCAATCTCAAATATCTATTTAATTTTTGAAGGGAAAATATTCTCTTGCTTTTACACCTCTCATCATGCCACCTCTTACTTTCTAGCTGACATGCATTACCTAATCTATTGCATTTATATAGTTTGACATCAGTTGTTGGAATTAAGAAATGCAATTATCCTTGAAGCAACCCTGCTGAAATATATTTTTCATATATATTTCACTGCTAACATATATATTTCTGGAGCAAATGTACAAGACTGCTATTTAAAAGAATATGGTATCAGAAAAATTGTGACGTAGAATGTGACGTGGAATAAATATCCAAGCTCCTCAAGTTCCCCCCATGGCTTTATTGATTAGTACCTTGGTTTCCACCAGCCATTATAGGTCTTGAGGCTGTAGTAAAGCTTTACCTGACAGGTAAATAAAGAAATGAAGCTTGGAGTAGCCTCCTGGATGATTGATTACTCCTTGATTCTTATTACAACAAAATTTAAACTTTGTGTTGAACTCGTTTCCTTTCTTACGCATCAGTTCTGCTTCTGCTTTTGGTACCATGGGTGTAAAGACCAGAGGTGAGAACAAGCCAACCCTTCCTCTGTCAGGGCTCTGTGTGTCCTAAAGGAGCCTTCACTGTGCTCCTCACTGTTGCACTGGAAATTCCACTACTCCTTCCTCTATAGTCATAGATTCAACAGCTTTACATTCCCTTTCAGCTTCTTTCTGGACTAGGCAGTCCTGCCGTCTTCCTGATTGTCTTTATGGGCTGAGAATTTTTGATTTTAGCAGAGTGCACACAGATATTTACCTTTGCCTGAGGCAGGATATTTTCTTTATGGCTTTTTACTGTTTTGTTTTTTTGTTGTGTTTTTTTTTTTTTTTTTTTTTTTTTTTTTAAGTGCATTTCAGTCTATTTAAAATTATTAACAAATCCAGCCAGACTTCTAATTAATGACCAATCACAGTCAGTGGGCTCTGACACTCTGTCCAAGACATTTGCTGTTGTGTTTTTTTTTTTTTTTTTTTATTCTTAGCTCGTCTCTTATGTTAAGAGGATATAAAATATTAATATTCACAAAAAAAATCAATTATGATGATCTTCTTAGCAAAAGCACTCACAATTCAGGAAATCTCATGACAAATGTTATGTGCTTTACAGATATCTGATGTTTAATTTTTCTGTTTGTTTGTGGGGAATTTGTGTGGAAAATACCCAGTTCTGTTAAGTTTAGGTTGGGAAACTGATACTGATGTAATCTTCAGTTTTCTTTGCCTTTTTTTGTGTAGCTTTTGATATGACTATTGGAACAAAAAATTCGCATCTAATTCTTGCTTATTAATCCTAATTACATAAAAGTTAATAGCAAATCTATTTTACTGCAATTTTCTCTTAATATTAAGTAAATGTGTATGGATAGTACTTTGATGATAGTTTTTCTGTGCTCAGCTTTTCTTGAATTTTTCCTATAAACAGAACTGAATAGGTGTGGGTTTTAGCAAGTTTTGAAGTTATATTCGTGGGTAAATTTTTTCACATAAAAAAACCATAGAGACTTATGGAAAACACCTTTCTACCTCTTTCCCAGACTCCAGACACCAGTCCCTCCTATTCCTGGCCTTCACTCCCCTTATTACCATCACCCATGCAGGTAACAATCCATTCAGTGAGGTGATGGATAATACAGGGAGCTGGACTGAGGACACAGTGATTCCTTTCTGTCATTCCTTCCTTTTCACTCTTTTCTTCCACAGCTCCTTCTGCCTAATTCATTTCCTCCTTTTTATTGTGCGTTATCCGCAGTCCTTTCAGGATGTGCTTGCTCTCTCATGGGCTCGTGCGTTGGCCAGAGCCCTGGAGTGTTGCCAATTGTGCCATGGAGCACCTCTTATCCCTTTGGCCCTCTTGTGTCTCTCTCTGGTGTTCTAAGAGGCGCTCCAAACTCCTTCAGCCCTCTCAGTTGAGTCCTGCAGTGGCTCCATCATGACCCAGCTGGAACTGCCTTTATCTGTCACAGCACAACCTCTGAACTCCCTCCCCTGCAACCAGCCCCACTAACAAAACCCTGCTTTTTATATCCAATACACTCAAATATGAGAATATTGTGGGAGGGAAAGCCAAAAGCCTTGGCTGAGTCAAGGTAATTTCCACCCACTCTTCTTCTCTTGTACACAAAATTTATAATTTTACCCTAGTAGATGGTGGAGTTAGTCAGGCATGATTTACCCTTGTTCAGTGTGTTAGAAATCACTTTTTTCTCATTTAATTTCTAGTTTTATGTTCATGTATATTTCTATCAAATTTTCTTTTTTTTCCCTCTTCTGTAATTTTGTCCTCAGGTTTGGGACATAAGGCTGTCAACGTGTAGCATCCTTATTTAGATTGTTTTCTCTATCTCAATATCTACTTTTGCTCTAAACATAAAAATGTCTAGTTAAAATTTCATATTTGTAGAACAGGTTCAATATATAGAATGAAAGTAATAAAAAACCTGACAATATAAGATTTAAACTGATAAACTCCCAAATATAATTTACAATCTACTTTATATTTTCCAGCTTTACTTCAAGTAACAATTTCACTTAGCAAAGTTGAGCTCAGTGTGGGTGAATCCAAGTTCTTCACATGCACAGGTATGTATTAATTTTATTTGTAGGTATGTAATTTGTGTTAAATTTTGAAATTTTAATATATTAGTAGTAAGTAATTGTTTACAATATTAAATTAATATATTGTTGTACATTCCCATTGACTTGTGAGAACTGTGACAAATACTAGGACTTCACTGGCTTCACATTTCCAGCCTAGGATTTCTTCATTTCACACACTGAATCAATTTGAATTCTCTGTATCAGTACAAGTAGTTTATATCTGTTAGGATGCTTTTGTAGTTCAAAAATTGTCACTTATTTAAACTAAAGAATTAAATCCTCTCCAACTTAATGAGACATCCAAGGAGATTTTTTTTTCTGGTGAGGCAGTAATCAGTCAGGAGAATGAGAATTTGCATTTTTAGCTGATTGATGTGGATCCTTGATGGTGCTGAGTTGAGATTTTCCATTGGCAGTGACACATGGCCTGACTACACTGTCAATATGATTACCAGGTGACCTGACCTGTTAATACAGTCACTGTCAGCCTGTTTCTTTCCTATAAGACTTTATACTTTTTTGTGGTTTTTTCCCTCTCTTGAGATCCTTTAGCTGCTATTTACCCTGTCTCAAAGATTGTACATCTGCCTGCAGTTTTGTCCTGCCTTTCTTACAACTGGCATAATTTAGCAATTAGCTGACATTGCAGAATCACAGAATCACTTAGTGGAAAAGACCTCCAAGACTCTCAAGTCTATGTTTTGACGGATCACCACCTTGTCAACTAGAGCACGGCACTGAGTGCCATATCCAGTCATCCCTCAAACACCTCCAGGGTGATTCCACCATCTTCCTGGGTAGCCAGTGCTTGACAACCCTTTCCGGGAAAAAATTCTTCCTGAATTCATTTTCAATTCCTGACACTGCACAGACTGTGCATTGGGTAGGCATACGCGTTGCACGACGTCCCTTCTAAATGTCTAAATTTGCATCGGTTTTGGTTTTGTTTGCAGCCATTGGTGAGCCTGAGACCATAGACTGGTACAACCCCCAGGGAGAGAAGATTGTTTCCAGTCAGAGGGTGGTTGTTCAGAAGGAAGGCATCCGCTCACGCCTCACCATTTACAACGCAAACATAGAAGATGCTGGTATATACCGGTGCCAAGCAACAGATGCTAAAGGACAAACTCAAGAAGCTACTGTGGTTTTGGAGATTTATCGTAAGTAAAATACCATCAATTAGCAAATAAAAGACTCTGTTTTAAAAGACACTCGCATAGAGAAAGTAAAGCCTCTCAAAATATCATCCCAAGCTCTGAATTTAATCTTCCAAATAATTGCATCTCGTGCATTTTAGTAAGTAGACATTAAGACAAAGATTTTAATTAATTGGAGGGCCACTTATAACTACTGTAGATTGCTTTTCTCCTGTATTTTAGGATGCCATCTTATGAGGGTTCACTGTCTGCCCCTCAAAGAAATTAGAAAATAGGAGGAAAAAAGTAGATCAGTATCATTCGTATTACAAGTGTGTGTACAGTTTACAAACTACAAAATATTACAAATATGTGCATAAATAAAAGTGCAGGAAGTGCAATATATGACTTTAAAAAATAGATTTTTTACTGAATTGTTATTTTAATCTCTGTCTTTTGCTATTCTTGGCCTTATGAATGAGTTTTGACATAAGCCATTGAAGCTCAGTGTGATAAGTAACCAAAATGGATTTCAATTGCAAGCAACAATTTGAGGAGTATATTTGAAAAATAAATGCCTTCTATTGTAGTATGACATTCTCTGAGAGATTTGAGTAGCTTTTTTCTCAGTGCTGAATAACTACATTGTATGACATTCTTTAGATCAATCAAATGTACCGAAAAGCTGTGCATTAAACAAGCAGTGAAGATGTGAGGCAGGGTCTTTGTTGGTGAAAGATGGGGCATATGCCAGCAGCCCATCACATGAGTTAGGATCTAAGTTCATTGGAGAACAGTTTTTTTTAAATGTGAAGGATCTACAATGAGACAAAAAGTATAGAGTAGAGCAGTAAAGCACTGCTTCTGAGAGATACAGATAGCTCAGATAACAAAAAGACATAGATTAAAAAAGAAGATGAAAAAAAAAAAGTCTTCTGATTAAACAACCAATAAACGAGTGATACCAGTTAGAAGTGATTACATGGTGGCTTGAAATCTCACAAATCAAAGGATTTTGATTTTTCAGGAATTCATTTGTATGCATAAAACTGTCAGTTACTCCATCAGCAGAATGCTGAGAAAAGTAGAAACCTTTAGAAGCATTTGCATGTGTTAATTTTAATAATTCTGAGGTAAGACAAACCCACAAACCTACACAAGTAATGTTAAGATTTGTGGGAACAGACATGTAAAATTTCCTTATTTGTGATTTGTGTATTTGTGATGTTAGAAAAAAACAGGATTGCTTGTTGGTAGTCTTAGGGCCTGGTTTTTAGGACTCTCAGATGTCTGTGAGAGGTTTTTTCTTTACTTCATACAAATATGTATGAGACATGTAACAATAAAACTGTTCTCCCTCTGCTGAGGAAGTGTGTGGATTATTTGAGCCTGCACGCATATCTACACAAAAAAACAGAGATGAAGCTGCATCTCTGGAAAAAGCTCCCCAGATTTTACTCTGAAATGTAACTGGCCATCTTTGACCTGAGAGAACATACGTTGGTTTGTTTATTCTGTGTGCAAGAATTCTTCCAGATTTTTTTTTCTTTTTGCGTGTTAGTCACCTGCATTGTATCTTATATGAGATCAAGGATTAATAGCATCTTGGACTTCTAAACCTACTGGATTTATTCGACACATGTGGAAAATCAAATATAATTTGTTTCTTTGAGATTGGAAGAATTAAAAGCCTCAGCAGACCTAAAACAATCTTGTTAATTCCTGAAAATAATGATAAAATTTCTTATGACTTAATAGTCATAATAGACCCAATAGGTTCTCACCGGCCTTTTAATGTTGTATTTTACTCAGCTGCTGTTTTTTGCAGTGATGCAAATATTCCACTTTTCTCATGAGAATTTTCCAAATTTTAATGTTTTTATGGAAGAATTAATAGAATAAAAACATGAGGTGTTAATTCAATAACAGAATAATGAGGAATAAAACCCACAAGAGAGTAAATAAACTATCAACATGAATATATAAACCTCTAAGATGTAGAATTTAAAAACTGTGTTCTGGAACATTGAAAACAATGAAAATATGTTTATAAAACCTGCAGAATGTATATAAATGAACAACATTTTGCATAATACAAAAGGATTGTACAGTAATTTTTACAGGCGGAGTCCAGGATGATCGGAGTCTTATGTGGGAAAATTATGTTATGGAAATAATTCTGTACTGTCACAATAAGCAGATTTTTAATAGTGGTGTTTATCTTGTTATTGAATATAATTTAATGCTATGTTAAGACTCTTACTGTATTGTGTTTTCTTTTTTTATTTTTTTCCTTTCCAGAAAAGCTCACTTTTCGGGACATAGTGTCTCCACAAGAGTTCAGGCAGGGGGAAGATGCAGAAGTTGTGTGCCGTGTTACGAGTTCACCTGCTCCCATTGTCAGCTGGTTGTATCGCAATGAGGAAGTCACAGCTATTGCTGACAGTTAGTATTTTGGTAACTCTTTCAGTTATACATTCCAATTCATATTAAAACATTATTTTAAAAAAAGGTATTTTTAAAGTCCTAGCGGACTTTATGGTGGATTTTAATGGGGGGTTTTGATTAGCCCGTCAGCCTAAATGTAATTTTACCAGGTTCTGTGATCTGTAGAGAATCTGTGTACAATGGTTTGCCCCAAGTGTCTTTTTTCCCAATGGGAATTTTGCCTAGGTGCAGCATGAGTTTCCAAATTCCCAAAAGATTTCTGGGAGCTCCCTCACAGGATCTCATCCTGGTGTGCCTGGTCTGTAGGAGCCAAAAACATTTAAAACACACAGAGATGAACTTCACTGCAGACCAAGCTGTGATACTGACCTTATACAGCCCTGACTTTGGGGTACTTGCCCAGTTGCTCAGAGAATTCCAGGTGGAGAGGTATTTTGCATCATTGTGAGAGTTTGATCGTTATCCTCTGAGTTACAGGTAACTGGGATATAAGTAATCTGCTGAGGCTGGCCTGATAAAGCTTGGCTTAAGATAAATCTCACTTTCCCCACATGTAAGTTCTAAGTCTCTAGAGAGGCAATTACCTAGGCAAACAGTATTTTTTCTATTTACCCCCTACAAAAACTTTGAATCGTTTTTTTCAGTGCTGTCTCAATAATCATCTTAGCCAAAACAGGACTTTTTTACATTTTCTGGAAATTGAACTAACATTGTCAATTAATCAGTATTTCTAATTTCCCATCAGTTTTTCTCTCTGCATGTAATGAAACTCAGAGTACCAATACATGTTTAAAATTCTTATTCTTTCAAAAATTATTGTTTTTCTTTATTTCAAAAAGAAAATGAAGAGTTTGTTTGGGGCTTTATGAAGTCAAATAAGCAAATGTGGAACAGTTGTTAGGGGGGAAAAAAATCTTGGTTGATACTGGTGGATTCAGTCTTTGGTTGCTCTCCATTGGGAAAGAAAGTTTTGATTAGGTTTCAATATTTTAGTCAACAGCTCTTCAGTAATGTCCTACTATTAGCCAGTATTTTATTGGACATTCTGGCTCAAAGCCTGGTACACATACAGCAACATTTACAAACCATGAGCCAAAAATTCCTCCAGATTGGGTTGAATGGCACGGGAAAGACATAAGCCCTTCTTGTCAGCCCCACCACTTAACATGTGATGTGACTGAAGGGGGAGGTCATGCGATTGACTGTTCTAAATCAGGCGTTTGAAGTTGTGTTGAGGGAATTGAGTCTCAAAAATGCAGTGATGATCTGGAGTAGTGTAATGCCCGGTTACTTCCAGATTCACCAACTCAAATCTGCTTAGCAAAGGGCACAATTTTATCAAGATATCCACGGCACAGTGAACTTCTGGTATACTCTGGGAATATCTACTGCTGTATCCATTTTTCTACAATGAAATTTGAAAAGCTATGCAGCCAACATTTAGTTTTTGTTTCCTGATACTAAATGAACCCTCATTTTTTCACTGTTTTTAAAAATGGAGATCACCTCCAGCCCTTCTGTTTATCTCACACATCGCATGTCTATGGTAAAAAAACCCCAAAAAAACCAACCAAAAGAGGTTTACCAATGCTTAAAGGTTTAAAGAGGGACTAGATCTCCCCATTTCAAAATATTTGGAGGCATGGTTCTGTATAGGTCATTGTGTAGGAGCAGAACAGGAGAAGATATATTTTGTTTCTGGTAATGTATGAAATGTCATTAATATTCAAGCTGGACTTTTAACAAACCAGACATAATTAGCGTAAATATGTTGATGATGTTAATGTCCTATAAAATTCTATCAGGTGAAGCATGATTTTTTTTTTTTTTTTTTCATTTCTCACTTCATTTTATGGTAGAATTCTTGCTACTAGTAGAAGTCATTTGTTTGATAGTTAAAAATAAAAGTTAAATGCTAAATCTCATCATCCTCCGATATTGAAAGGTGCAAAATAAAACAAGAACAGCTGAATAACAGGAGTTCATGTTCTTCAAAACCCACATTCAGTGAATTGCAGGAAGTCATTCTCCTCAGAAGAGTGCGTTAATATTGACTAGTTTTGGTGGGTTTACCTTGGTGAGCTCCCAGGCACCCATCCAACCTTTCTCTCACTCACCCCCCTCAAGAGGTTTACCTTGGCTGGATACCAGCTGTCACCAAAGCTGCTCAATCACCTCCTCTGAAACTGGACAGGAGGGGGAGAATATAATAAAAGGTTCATGGATCAAGATAAGGACATGCAGAAATCACTTGCCAATTGCCAAAACAGATTTGACTCGAGGAAAATATAATTATGAACATAATCAGAATAGAATAGTGAGAAATAGAAGTCTTAAATTGCACCTTTGCCTCATACCTTCTCTCTTCTCGTGCTAAACATGACTCCAAACACTGTCACCTGGTGCTCCTTCTTCCTCAGGAGAGGACTCTTCATACTCTTCCTCTGCTCCAGCATGGAGACACGTCCATGTACTTCAGCAATCCTTCTAACAGCCTGCAGTTCTTCTGGAACAACTCCAGTATGGGCATTCCAGTCCTGGCACAAAACCTGCTATGGCACTGGTTCCTCTCTCCATGGGTTCACAGGTCCTGACAGGGAGCGTGCTCCAGCACAGCTTTCCCACAGGCTCACAGCCTCCTTCAGGCATCCACCTGGTCTGATCCAGGGGCTGCAGGTGGATCTCTGCTCCCTTGTGGACCTGATGGGCTTCAGGGGCACAGCTGTCTCTCTCTGGTGTGCACCATGGCCTGCCAGGGAATCTCTGCTCTGGCACCTCCTCTTCCTCCTTCTTCACTGACCTGGGTGTCTGCAGGGTGGTTCTGCTCAAGTCTTCTCACTCCTACCCTGGATAGAATTGCTGTTACACATTAATTTTCCCTTTCTTAAATCAGTTATCCCAGAGCTGCTGATAGGCTCAGCCAGGGGCAGGTCCTTTTTAGGGCCTGCTGGCAGTGGCTCCCTAGGACTTGGTGAAACTTCTAGAAGCTTCTCAAAGAAGCCACTTCTGTATCCCCCCCAAATTGTTGCAAAAAAAAAAAAAAAAAACAAACAAAAAAATACCAACAACAACCCTAAAGACAACAAGATTATGGAAGAAAATGAGACAAAAAGTGTGTTGAGATTAAGCCAGGGAGAACGCTCACCGGCATTAGCAAAATGGGTTTGACGGAGGGGAAAATTAATTAAATTTATTGCAAGTTAAATAGTGTTGAATGGTGAAACACAAGACAAAATTAAAGCAATATCTCTGCTCTCCTTTTTCTCAGACTTTACTCTTTCCTTGCTGGGTCCTCTACCTTGCCCACCCCAAGGAATGCAGGGAGATGGGGAATGGGGCCTGTGGTCAATCTGTGACATTTCCAGTCTGGATCCTTTCTCTGGGTTGTAGTTCATTATGAATTTGCTGTAGCATAGGATCTTCCATGGATTACAAAGGAAATATCTGTTCCTTGAGGCCAACAGATCAACACGTAAACCCAATAAACCAGTTCAAAGAGAAGGGAGAGGAAAAATTAAGTTCAGGTCCAGTTTACTCCTGAAGATTATAATTTTTGCTGCTGCATGTGCAGAAAAGTGTATACGTGGTTTTCTTTCAGAGCCTGATTTTACAGTGTCCTTCAGCTCCTCAAAATGTCTACTGAATTTCAGTTTATGCTGGCCTTTGCAGAAGATAGAGTGCTTTCTTTTTTGGGGTTATGTCTTTGTTGCCATTTCTGTGAAGAAGTGTTAGAAGGTGGTGAAATATATCATTGACCAAGAGTGAATGAAGAAAGGAACATGAGGAGGGAAGGACAAGCAAGCTGAAAATCATTAAACATTGGACTGTAGAATGGGCGCAAAGACAGTTAGTCTAGATGGAGAGGGAAACAGCATTTTGTGCTTATTTTATTAAAAATTGCTCAATTTAATTTTTGAGTCTTTTTTTTTTCCATTTAATCTTTTTTTATTCTGTGTAAATGCTCACGAGTATTCTACTCATTTTGCAATAAATTTTTATTTAACCTACAGTTGATTACTTCTTGGAGTAATAGGAAATTATGGGTGAAAAATCCAGATTGAATTCTAGGAATTTCAATGTGCTTTGGAATGAAGAAACCCCAAACTTCTCAGCCTACATTTTTTTTTTAAATGTACAAATATTTTGTCAATGAGTATTCGGACTGTACAGAGAAAGTACGTAAATATTAATAATTTAAGTTAGTGTTCCTCAAGTTATCTTGATTTATTTGATTTATGCCACTTGATCTCTTATTTTTCTTTCTAGATCGATTTGCGATATTAGCAAACAATAATCTCCAAATTCTCAAGATCAATAAAAGTGATGAAGGAGTTTACAGATGTGAAGGAAGAGTGGAAGCAAGAGGAGAAATTGACTTTCGGGACATAATTGTTATTGTGAACGGTAAGGAGTAAAGTTGACAAATTGACTTCTTCCTTTATTTGATTATTATGGCCTATTTCAACATGTATCAAATTCTAAAAAACCTTTATGAAACTGGTTAATATAATTGTCACACCTGTTTATTATTGGTTTCTTATAAATGTAATTCCTTATTATTAAAAAAAAAACCAACCTACTGTAGTGTGTAAATAGAATTCATTACATTTCATAATATCAGTAAATATAAACATGTAAAGCATATTTATAATAATAATAATGGATCATTAATATTCATCATTTACAGAACAATAATTATTTCAAGAATTGGATTTCAGATTGTAGTAGTTCAGTTCAGTCTTTTTTTCAGTGTTTTTGTCATTTACCCTTAAAAAACACACTTGATTTTTCATAGTTATTCGCTTTCACTGTGTAACATACTTTGTGAGCTGTCCCAAAAGCCACAGATACATTTTATTAACAGCATTACTTACAGATTTTTTCAAATTTTATTTTTGTGAGGAATAAAATATGTGAGGACTTGCCTGAAAATTTGCATTATACATTTTATTAGTTTATAATAGACCTCTAAGAGGGAAAATCAATGAATTGAGACAAGAGGGAGCATTTAACTCAACCTCTCTTAAACTCTGCACTGACCTGGTGAAAGATAACTATCTCTTCATATATTGCCTGGAAAGGACACCGTTCATAAAGGGCATTTTTTATCTCTGCAGTCTGTTTAATGTCAGATTTCCAGTGAAATCTTCCTCAGTGTGTCTTAGGTTCAGAGCTTTAAATGCTGTGCCCTTGACTGGTCCTTCCCAGCAAACCCCAGTAAACACAAATTATTATGTGAGGTGAAGGCACAGCCAGTTTCAGCAGGAGGAGCAGATTCTGCCACAGATATTTCTTAGTCGAGCAGCAACATCTGAGGCAGAATTCTCTAGATTGTTGTGGGTGGTATTCTGGTGCTGCATTACCACAATTCCTGGTTATGTACAATTCCAACAGTGCACCTGGTAGCATTTAAAATGCCAACTGAGATTTTCCTCTCCTTCTATTAATGTACAGGGATATGAATCCACCTTCTGATTACCTTTCATCTATATTTATATGCAGCTGAGCTGAGACAGTCTGTATTTAACCTAAAACATTGGTTTGCAAATCATGGTCAGACTTCACATCATTTTTTGTTGAATTAAAAAAATCTGGTCCATCTTATCATCTCTAAACTTCAGTCCTGGGAGGAGAAAGAGCTGCCAAATAAGTGATTATGACATGGTTGGTCATGTGGAGTGACATCAATTAAGAGCTATTTCCTGCTTCATTTATAGTAATAAATAGGTTTGCCTACATGAAGTTGAAGGGATAAAATTTGATCCAAAAAAGCTTTTAGAGTAATATTAAAATGCACAAAAAAATTCTAGTGTTTTAATATTAAAATGCAGGAAAAAAATGTAGTGTTTTTTTTTTTTTTTTGGGTGAAAAAAAGCCTATAAATGAACTGGATTCAAAAACAAAAAGAAAAAAAAGAAAAAAAGAAAAAGAAAGAAAAAAAAGAAGAAAAAGAAAAGAATCAGTGATCAGTATATAGGCCACCAAAAGCTACATAACCATATATCCACTGCATCTCCTTTTCCAAAAGAGAAATAAAAAATACTTACTTTGAAGGATAATCTAAGCTTGTGATAAAAATAAAATATCATCACAAAAGTATATGTATGTAAAAGTTTTTCAACTTTAGAGCTTTACTGAGCTTTATTTCCTCATCTTGCTACAGTTACTGTAGAATCTACAGGAATTTGCAAAATATATGCTAAAAATATTTCTATAATAAGAATGAGGTGAATTGGAAGGGACCCACAGGAGCTTTGAGTTCAATGAAAAAGTTGTCCTGGTTTCATTTAAACCAGGATAGAGGTATGTAAGGTCTCCAAAGCAGGATAAACTGAAACAAAAGAGCTCAGGGGCACTTTATGAAATCTGGCATACTATGTTAATTATAGTAGTTTGTTTTTTTTAATTAAAGTTTGCATATGAGTAGTTTGCAAATGTACTCAAAAAAATTAAATCCTGCAACAAAATTTGATATCAGAGTAATTTCTAATGTATGGAAATCCTTGGAGGGTTTAATGGGTAAGAATTTGACAGCTAGATTATTAGAAATCTAATGTTTATGTTTCTTTTCTACTTTCAACGCTAAAATTATTGTAGCATTTCTTTTCTAGTTGTATTTACAGTGAGATCTGAATGTCACGATTTTCTGTGGCTACTAATGGTTTATATAGAGGAGAATGAAAGAATTCAAGTCGTCCTGTAAACAAAAATTTATTTTACTTGTTTTTTTGTCTCGCTTTGGTTTTCCCTATTCTTTTTTTTTTCCCCCTAATGTACTACTTAGATTTACTTATTGCTATCTGAGAAGTTCATAAATTAAAAAGCCATCCTGATCTCAGTGAAGTTAATGAAAGAGAGCTATTTACACAGTAATATGGGACTGAGTTTTGCCACTCTGCTTTAAATATGAAATGAGAGAGACTTACCAGCATACCTTCCGTTCACTTTTCCTCTTGTAGCTTTACACTTTAGATTCAACCTATGTACATACAAGCATGAAAACAGATTTATTCCTTGAAAAATTATGAGCAAAATAAAATTTTACTTTTCAAATGAGAAAATAATATTTAATTTCATTGTCATTGCGGTATCTCTTGTAAGATTGAAGCGCTTAAGTAATGCACTGAACCAGGTCACAGTCCTGGAGTTCTTAGTGGTGAACAGTGAAGAGCCTGCTACTTCTAGCCAAGAGCTATCTCCTCATGTTCCCAACTATTTTCCAGGTCCAGGCACTACAATAGGTCCAGGCAAGGTCCATTTACAAGGTCCAGGCACTGCAAAATAGCTAAAAAGCATTAAAAGCTTTCTAAGTAGGATTATGGGAATTTTTTTTTTTTTTTTTTGGAGATGGATAAATTCCCATTGCACAGCAGAAGGGTTTTGTGTGCTGAGTAATGGCCCATGCAATTTCAGATAGGAAAGAAGTGATCTGTGAAACACTATGAAGCACACCATTAAAAAGTGTGAAAAGTACATAAAAACACACAATTGCTTATCATTGATAATTCTGGTACATGATTTTATATTAATTTGATATATTTAAGATTCAGAAGTGAAAAGGCTTCTGAAATATTTGGTAGAGAGCCACAACAGTTGGTTTTCAAAAATGGGTGAGAAAAATCTGGTGGAATGGAATGGAAAACTAAAAACAAATTCATTGGGGTTGCCTGTTTCATCTTTTCACTAGTAAAGAGTAAAGATAAAAATGATAACTGAGTCACTCTGTCATCTCCCAGGATTTTCTGGATAGCTGACCTTTATTTTGTGAAGCCCTAATCTTTTCCCTTTCCTCTCACTTTCTGTGGTATTCGTTCTTCTCCATATACCAACTCTCATCTAATCCACTTGGATTGTTTTTATTTGAATGTTTCATAGAATCAGAGAATAGTTTGGATTGGAGGGACTTTAAAGACCATCTAGTTTCAAACACCTGCCATGGGCAGGGACACCTGCTGCACCCAGTTCCTCAGACCTCCATCCAATCTGGCCTTGAACACTTCATATTTGAATGTTAAATAATAGAAGAGGATATGTAAACAAATATGTTAAATACCAGCCTGTGAGTTGTTCTGTCTCCAATATGATTGCTATTTTTTCAGTTGGGTAGAGGTTCTTTGCGAACTCTTATGATTTTATAACAGTTAAAAATGTTATTATTTGATTATTATTAATATTTTAAATGTTATTTTTTTATAATGATTTAATCCCATCAAGAACAGAAAACATTTGTCACTATGAAAACAAAATTAAATTCTTGGAAATACAAATAGATTGTATCCATTGGGTGCACATCGCATTGGTGCATCCATTGCATTGCATTTGGCCTTTGGAAGCTGATGATATTCCTGGCTGAGAAGTATGCTAAAGCTCAGTAAAAGGATTGAATATGCATAATCAAGGCTCCTGTATACTGATCCCTCTTTTAGAAACACTGTCTAACATCAGGACATAGTTTTATGTCTTATGTATGTATTGACTTATACATGTTAGGTGTAATTTTAGTCATCATAGAATGTTCTTTAAGAAAATTGAAGAACTACTGAAAAAAGGCTTTAAAAATTCATTCTATTAAAAATAAAATGTCCTGATAATATTAAAATTATAAATGTCCTGATAATATTAAAAATGTTGAATTTAAGAAATATGAAGACAGACTACTAACAGTAATTCACATGGTAACTTGATCCCTAATTGCAATCCCAAATTCCCAAATTCCCAAATTAGCAAAGGATCCTGCGTTTTGAGTTTCACCAGGAATACCTAATATTTTATTTTTCATTCATTGGACATAATGTTTGATTTTTCAGTGCCCCCTACGATCATTCTGCTGCAGAAGTCCTTCAATGCCACGGCAGATCGAGGAGAGGCAGTAACTCTGTTCTGCAGAGCCACTGGATCGCCTCCCCCTGAGATCACTTGGTACCGGTGAGTTCAGCCCAGGTCTCCACATCAGAGCACATTGTTTTAATGTGTCCTGATCTTCTAGCACAGTCCATTAAGCTGTGCAACCGTAATTTCTCCACTGAATTCTAAGATAATTTTCTGTCCATTTCTATTCTCACTGCTAAGGCTGGATTAAGCATTAATGTGTGAACAGACTCACAATTTCACAAATTCAATTGCACTCAGGTTGCCAGCGAGGTAAATGCAAAAAGTACCAAAAATACCATATTGCCATTATTTCTTCATGTGTGAGTGGAAAAGAAATAAGTTCATATCTCAAAAACAGTACAAGAACAATCTAAACACGACTTCTGCACATAAACACACAGATACGTGTTTATCCAATAAATAAATATCCAGTATAGGTCAGGACTACAAATAAAAAAAAAAAAGAAGTAACACTTTTCACGTTTGTAAAAACAGATTTTAACCTTCACTCTCTATTTAAATGAGATTCAGAAAGAGGTACAAATTTAGACACTTGTTGGACCCAGGAATGTGTCATTGACTAAGTTTCAGTGTAACTTCATATAATTTTATCAACATAAAATACTTTGAAAATGGAATTGCTTTTAAATCTCATGTGTGTTTTTTTCATAATATCAATGACATGAGCATAGTATAGCTATGCCATTTGGGAGCACTTACCATATCACATTTGTAAAAACTTAAATATCTATTTACTCTGTGTTCTTTCAGTTTCAACAAAGATATGCATCATTTCTGGAATGTAAAGTATTTCAATATCTCAAACCAGTGCACATTTCTATTTTAGACCTGAATAATTTGCATCTACTTACATTACTTCAAGTGGATTAAAAGGTCATCCCATTTTTAAAATGGGCATAGAAATGATTTTCATCAATTCTTCACCTCCTTTGGAACATTTGAACAATGTTAGATTTTGTTTCTCTCTTTTGATATCTTAATCTTGTTATGCCAAAGGTCAGTTGTGAAGTTGAATTTTTCTCTCATGCAATTTGAATCCCAGAAGATATAAATAAATAGAATGCAAAGGTAATTCTTTAATGTGGCTTAGAATTCAAAATTTAGTAAAGAGGAGGAAAAACAAACCCAAAATATTATAGCCCAGATCAAAGAACTCATATTAAATTCAGATCATGTTATTTTTATTTGATGTCAGGACATTTTTTAAATTCATAAGAGTTGCCTGAAATCTGCTCTCCTAAATGTCTTTGGTGTATGACAACATGCATCATGGTATATATGAAGGAAGATTACATAAATTTCCACCATTTGTGGATAACTCCATTAGCAGTTGTGGGATTTTTTCCATGTTTTATAAATACCATTGTACACACACAGTCCAAGTGTCTTGGAGAGACACTTATTTCTGTGTTCACTGATCAGAGCCCACTGAAGGATTTCCCTTTGGTTGGACAGCCCTTGAGGAGCTAAATTTTTAAACAATTCATTAAATATTTTTTGTAACGATTTTCCAGAAGCTTTTGAGGTTTGTGGACTGCATATTGAATCATACATGTGCAAACTTCTGTTCTGTTTCTCTTTCAGGAACTATCTCATAATAAGGAATATTGGCTAATGTCCCTCCCTTCCCTTTTGATGTTTTATTTTTCCCCCTTTGATTCTCTTTTAATTTTATCTGATTAAGGTGTAAATTCTTGTTAGTAAAAAATGTTCTTTTTTTTTTTATTTGCTGACACTGAGATTTTGTAAAATGATACATCCAAAAGAACATTTATCCATGGGACAATATATTATTATTGATACACAAGCAGGGAAAAAATGAGGAAAGAGAATTCCTTCTATTTTTAGAGAAAGCAAACAATAATAAATCTATTCCTAATTTTCTAATATCTATTCCTAAATTTCTGCATCAAATTTCTGAAATCTCTGTCCTAAAATTTTCAGGTCCATGATTCCATAATCAGATGATCTCTTCTCCTGTCTTTGGTCTTATCTAAAAATTATGTCAAGATAAAGGCCTTGGTTTTCTACAATAGTTCAGCCAGGGATTTTTCAGTAATAAGACTGAGCATAGGAAAACCTGATCAACATATTTTTCTTTATTTTGAGAAAGATCTAGAAAGTATTTTCAATTAATATTAGGGAAGTTTATCTAAACAAATTTATCTAATCTTAATATGCTTGTCATCCACTGAAAAGCTAATTGAATATATTTTTCAGAATAGCAAATTATTCCCTATTTGGTTCTGTTTAGTATTCTTCTTGATGTTGAAAGTAAGTTGGTACTAAGCTCAGTTTTACTGTGTTTCAGTTTTAATAAACAAGTGGAATTATATCTTGAATTTGATAAAGTTTTACTAGTGCTTTTGTAAGGATTATACTTATTTGTCACAGCAAATTAAGGGAATTGTGTTCAGTTTTAAACCCAACCTCACCTTTTATCTATGTGAGTTCAGTCATTTTATTTAATTTCTCTCAGGTTAAACATTTTTTAAATGGCTTGATGTAATAAAGTGATTTCATGGAAGCCTGTTTTCTGAATTCTCTGATTAGCTAGGTATAGCTAATGGCCTCAGAGAGATGGTGTTAGATATTCTAACAGAAAATCATAATTATAGCTTTTCCTGATGTCTCATTACAAAACATTCTGAACCATATTCAGTCTCCTGAGGAGCTGTGGAAAAGTACTGACAAAAAGGGTGGTAAATGATTTTTTACTCCATTCTGCTCCAGGATTTTGTCTTCATGGTGTAAAAAGTATATCCATGCTTGTTAAGGTGGTTCATGAAGACTGAGGACTTGTGTTTACACATTTCCATGTTCTTCTGCCTTTGTTGCCTTTTAAAATGGGCTCTCACACCCATATTCAATCATTCAGTCAAATGAAGTTTCTTTATTAAGTCCTGCATAATCTGCATCTATTCAAAGGTAGTCTTACAGTCCACTGCTATCTTAGTCAATTGAAAAAGTAAATTTTTTGAATTTTTACTACCCTTGTTTCCTTTTTGATTTCCAATGAACTGATTTTAACAGACCAACTTCAGATAGGCCATAAAAAATATCTGTATTTTTAAAATCAGATGACATTACTATTGAAGGGACTCGTGTTGACTGTAAGCAAGATGGTGGACAAAACAATACTCTCAAACTTTTAGCTCTTGGCTGGCCAAGAAACTAGCTAATGTGATGAAGCTGAGCTATTTAATTGACCATTTTTATTTCCAGGTGCTGATGAGATTTAGTTTAGATCAATTTGAAATGGATTCATCTGAACTAATATGTCAGTTTTTCTCCAGAAATCCTTTAGTGCAATTATAAAAATTAGTCACTTTGAAATACCTTGTCAAGAAGAAAAGGTCATCAAAGTGATATTTATCAATGTATATATTTTGTTGCTGCTCTATTTCATATATTTATATATTTTATTGATATTTCGTGGACTAAGAGAATCTAATTAATTCTCCATGGAACTGGGACCTCTGTTGAAGCTGATATTACATCAATGTAAAGCATAACCTTCAGAGAGGCAATGCACTAATAGAATTAATTTAACCAGGAGTGAAAGATAAAGATCCTAATGTAACTACAGGTCATGAACTGGAAATCTTTACTCATGTGAATTGTCCTACTGAAAACATTGTTTATAGCTGTGGAGATAATTTACACTGCTAAAGTTTAGCTGGATCAATTTCCTGGTCTTTGCTGACAGGACTTAGAATTATCTCAAAAAGAAATAATCCACTTTAAGTATATTATTCATGTTTTCCTGTTATCCAATATCAACATCAATATGAATCTCTCTGCTCACTAGAGGGTCCAGGGAAATGCTCATATACTCATTTATGCTGAGAAACTGCTATAGATATCAATGATTGTGAAAACAGGTACCTGGAAATTACTTCTAACCTTGAATAAATACTTTTCTCTCCTAAAAGAAATCACCAGGGGTTTTTGATTGTTTGGGATTTTTTGTTGTTGTTTGTTTATTTATTTGTTGTTGTGTAATGGGTTTGGGTGGCTTTATCTCTTTGTTCTGTTTTTGGTTAAGTTTGGTTTTCTCTAATATAGAAAATCAAGCCTTTCCTGTTCTGTAAAACAGTTTCTGCGATTTTCTTTGGAATGGAAGTGAACAAGTATCATAATAATGTCTTGAAGTTGGTAACTAAGTGGATTATAATTATTTACAAAAACATGTTAGTACTAAGTGCAAACTATGTGGATAACAGGGTACTCCTACTAATAGTTACGATCCTCCCAAGGAAAAAACAGTATCCTCACTTTTAGAGAATATATTATTTAGGAAAATATGAAATATATGTAGCTGTCATTGTGTGAGAATAAAATGGAAATATTTTTTGTTCAAATCTTGAAAAAAATGTAATGTCTAAAGCTAGGAATATTGAATAAAATATAATTTTTGAGTAATGCCCTCTTGAAAAAGCTGTGTGCAGGCCAAGGTGGCCAAATGCACTGGTCAAGCCTCAATCAGCCCTCAGAATTGCTTGCAGATTTTATTATTTCTGCACCATCTGGTCACAGCTCATTCTAACATCTGGAGACATGCCTGCCTGCTAAGTTGTGGTTAGCCAACAACAACTGAGAGGAAATAATTTGGATGGGTTCTTGATGTGCCAATAGGCTCTACGTGAATGTAATTTAATTTTTTCATAAGTTGCTACATTGTTACTACTGTGAACTGCAGCAGTTACACTTGGAAAATATGCTTTTAATAGTTTCTCACATACAATATACAGCAAATTTCCTTATGCCCTCACTTGAGTGTAAGCTATATGTAAGAATCCTCTTCACAACCATTTTTTCTAACATCAGGCCAATATTGAACATTTAAGAATAAAGGTATTGTAGTATTTTTATGCATATATATATATATATATATTTTAACCTGACAAATTATTACATTGTGATTTTTGAGGGTAGTGTAATACTAGTCTCTTCACTCAAATATTATTCTCAGCCTATTGATGCTTCTGTAGCACATTGTTACTGGATGTTAGTGGCTGATTTATACCTTTTTTTTTTTTTTTAGGAATGGTAAACTTATTGAAGAAAATGAAAAATATGTCCTGAGAGGAAGCAATACACAACTAACAATAAGAGATATAAAAAATATCGATGCAGGTCCTTATATCTGCAATGCTAAAAACAAAGCAGGAAATGACAAAAAACAGACAGTCCTTCAAGTTTTTGGTAAGTACTGCATAATATGGTCCATCTTTCCTTTTAAAATGTAAACAGTAAGGAAATAGGTGTTAATTTGCAATTTTCAGTTCAATAGTATTTCTGCAAGGTGCCTACTGATGCAGCAAAGTGCTTTTCGTATGATTTTACAACTTCTTTTGTCCCTGTTGGCTGCCTAAACCTTTACATCTGAATTTCATTTTGAAAAGGTTATCTTCAGCATTTGCTTTTCTGCTATTCACATGCAGTGTACAATGGAGTGCTAAATAGTTAATTCACTCTGGTTTTAATTTAGAAGTTGAGTGCTTGCAAGAAAACTAAGGGGGGAAAGGGGAAGTTCTGAAAAGGGCAAAAAGCAGGTTACCTTGACTTCTAAGCAGTGAGGGTTTTAGTAAAGCAATGCCATGAAGAGGCCTTCCTAATTTTAATTATTCAATTTATCTTTCTTGATGTCTGTTTTTTAATTATACAATTGCAGATGTAGTCACAAAAATGTTGTGTGTGCTGAGCTTCAAAGGATAAAAGTAACAACCTCAAACCCCTTATTTCTCTTTTTATGTTCCCCCACCCCACCTGTGCTAATGATTCCCTCCTTTACATAGAACTGATAATTTATTTGAAGTTTTGTTGAGATATAACCTAGTGAGAGTGAGTATTCGTGAGAATGTCGAAAACATCCCTCAGAATCACTGTGCAAAACAAAAAAGGCTGTAACTTACTTATGAGAAACCTACAAAAATGAATTTCATGGGGTTTATATATATATATATAAAATATATATATAAATATATCTATATAAAACATATATATATACATAAACATATATAGTATATATATATAAAGAAATTATATTTCTCTATAATACAAGCTATATTTAATGTAAATATATAAATATATATTTACATTAAGTATAGCTTGGATTATAGAGAAAGATCATTTCTATTTCAATAGTTAAATGCCATACTTAAGAAAGAATTAATTAAAAAAATGAAATATTAAGGATTTACCATTAATTCCCAGCTAAAGTAATAATTTACGAAAGTGAAAGAGTTCTAATGGGAGAGAGTCATCTGATAATTGACATTGAAGGGGGTAGATGTGTTGTTGTATAATGCTGTGGGGCCTGGGAGCCTGAGGCTGAAGCCATGGTGCCAGGTGAACATGGCTGAGCTCCCACACATCCCACTGTCTCCTCTTTGGAAAACTCTTTATGCTGTGTTGTTTCCAGCCCTGCACTCCAGGTGCATTGCCTAAACACTGGGCTGTAGTTCTGAGGTACTCGGGAGTTATTCTCAAATGAAATGATGAAATAAAATCTTAAATTTTATCCCAGCCCCAAGAAGTACAGCATCTTGGTTTGGAAAACTGAAATATTTCATTCCACTCCATTTCCAAACTTAAAAATTAGAAATCACTGTCTAATTTTGATATTAATTTAGGGAAATTTCAGTCTGAAACAACTCTGTGTGTTATACAAGTAATTTTAAGTGTGCCTGAAATTGGTTTCTTCCTTGCCTAGAGCAAGGAAACTTTTTAATGAAAGGGATAGGGAAAAGGAGACACCACACTGGGTGAGGATTTCCTGTATATATATATTTACATCTTTTAGCAACCATTTTTCTGGGGACTCCATGGAAAGAAAAATCCTACTGTTTTAATGGATACAATGAGTTTGTTAAATCCATTATGAACCTACACATCATTAATGTTTCCATGACATCCTAAACTCTTAAATTTATTAGGTATTTTCTTTCCTGCATGGAAAATACTGTCTTATGTTTAAGTTTGCACAGAATTCTCTAGAGTGTCTCCCACATCTCTGCCCTAAGAGGTTATAGCTAATTTGTAATAGATTTTAATGTCTCCTACAATAAACTTCACTTTTATCTTTTATGTCTTTCACACAGATTATATACAGTCATATATCCAGACAACAAGTACTTATGTTTTTTCCATTAAATGTGTTAAAGAAAGTGTCAGTCTGAAAATGACGAAGCAGATGGCTGGTTATTATAGCTAAATAGTACACAAACAACTTGTTTATGTTAAATTGACCTATTAAATTACATTTTTTTATCTCACTCCATTAGCTTATTTGTCTCACATGTCTGCTATCTTTAATTTTAATTTACAATGCAAACTCCTTAGGGCAGCGACTACTGTTTTTACAACACTGCTCTGGCAATGTTAAAATTCATAATAACAGTAATATAACCATAATTTAGTAAAAATAATAGTAATATTATAGAATTCTACTTAAACTTTCTAGAGCACAGGACTTTTGAATAAACATGCTCATTTTACTGTCATATAATAGCTACATATTTAGTTTCCATACATGACCTAGATTCTTTAGTTTAACTTTAGGTGTTTTTCAGTATCAATGCTAAAACCCCTTTTTTATTCTGATGTAAAATGCTTACTCTGACAATTTTTCTGCAGCTCTGATATATAATGTGGAACCTATAGGCACATGCCCTGCCTTCCCCAGTTCATCTGTATCAGTGCTTTGTTCTAAAAAGAGACAAAAACCCTGTTTCTCTCAGTCTTTGTTGATATGATTTGATTATCTCTGTCTGTCCTCCTCTTATTTGCCATAGTTTTGGGGTTTTTTTTGTGTCATTAGCAATTACTATCTAAAAGATCTTATCTATGAATGCTTAGAACTTGTGCTAAGGTTTTTAATTAAAATTCATTTATGTTTACTGCTGAACAGCTTTAAACCATAGGTATTCATCCTTCAATTCTTTAAAAATATTCTCTGATTTATCTCTGTTTGGTAGCTATCACTTTCACTTATACTGTTCCACTTTATTTTTTTCTTTTATTTTTTTTTCTTTATTAGTAGTAACTAGCCACATTTATAAATTTGTGTTTTTACATACATCTAAATTATATTTTTTAATTATGAAATACCACACTTTTACATTTATGGAAAAACCAAAAAAAATTTCCAAAAATTACTTAATAAAAAACACTTGATTTAAGAACAGTCAATAAATTCAATTCATTGATGCTTCCTATATCTTCTTACTTTCTCCAAAGTAAACACTAATTTCTTCATCATTCCTTCTCCAAGGTGATGGCAGTAATCTTCATTTATGTTACAATAAAAAATATAATCAGACTAAATGAAATAAAATTAGCTTTAATTAAAGACATACTTGTGCTTAGTATGAATAATGTTTATATTCCTAGGGTTTTCATTTTGTTCGCTCTAGTTTTTTATTTCCACTTCTTTATCACTCAGATACGTGGTTATACAATTTGATGATACTTAGCATTGTGGTTTTCAACAAGTATTCTCTTTTCTGTACTTAGGTCACAGAAAACTACATCTATATGTTTAATAATTTATTTTCCTGGAAAGAAAAAATATTCTTTCTTTAAGCAAAATCAATAAAAAAAAAAATTTAAAGGGAGTTCTAGCATAAGTTAATATGAAGTTCTCTATAATATAGGTGTTTTACCTCCATAATCAGTGAGAGGGCAGTCTGAGTAATATATTATTGTAAAAGTATTTCAATGGCATTTCAGTAGGTTCTGACAAATGACTTCACAAAAATCAAATGAGGGGATACCTCAAAAAGCATTACAAAAGACACTTTGTACTTAATGCATTGTTTAAACACATACTAATTTTATTTTCTAGATGCCTTTTTAATTATAATCTGAATGTTGTTTAGTGGAAAATTTTTTTCAGTTTTTTTACATTCAAAATGTAATTTTTGTTGATCATTGAGAAACTGTATGCTGTTATTAATGTACATTTTTGTCATCTGACAGATGGGAGGAAATATAATGGACCTCTCCTATCTTATCCCTCTTGTGTTTATTTTAAATGCTAAAATTCAAAACTTTTATGTTAATTTAGTCCTTCAAAATCCATTCATCTTGGAACCAAAAAGGCTGTCTTGTGCTTCTGAGATTGGGGTGACAAGTTGTCTAAATTTTCCCCTTAATTTCAGTCTTAATGCTGCATTCCTTTATATAGTACCTGGAGCATGCCTTAATAATTTTCTTTTGGGCTTAGCAAGTAAATTTATATGTTATATTTTATACATATATATATATATATATGTGTGTGTGTGTGTGTGTATATATGTGTGTGTGTGTATATATATGTATATGTATGTATATATAATATACATATATATTTATATATATATTATATATTATTCATATACGTATTTAATATGCTTTTTGTGGTTAGTTTTGTTTGTCATGAGATGCTTTTCAGTACATACATGGAAGTATTTCATTTAAATTCACTGATACCTCTGGAAGGAAAATGCCATGGATCTGTGTATGGAGCAATCAGTGCCTGCTCTTCCCAGATATCATAAAGTTCACCAAGTCCAGGTGTAATGTTAATGATGCCTTTTGAAGGCTGACCTGGAACAGAGAATAGGCAGGAGGTAAAGAATAAAGTAGGGATTTATTAAAAGGCCTCAATGGATTCACCTTGGGTAGGACAAGAGCCCAGCCAGGGCTGCACCCAAGGTGAACCCAAAATGGGCACAAAATGGATGCTGGTCATGAGGTCCCACGCTTTTATAAGTTCTGGTCCATTATCATAGTGGAGTTAATTGTCCAGTTACAGCTTTAGATTATGAAGACCCATCCTTCTTGTTTTTCTCTCTTCAGTCCTCTATTGTTTGTGCTCTTGGGCCTGAAATTTGGATCATTTGTCCTTGGTCCCCAACTAGGGAAGGAATTGTTTTGTCTCCCTACTCTCTGAAGAGAGCTCATCATCCCCTAATATGAGGCTTAGAACTGCACACTAAAGCAGCACAGAATCTGAAAAATACAAAAGCTAAAACCTGAGGCATCATTAGAAGTCCATGTACTTTCTGCATTCCTTTTTCCTCCTTATTACTTCCTCACTTTTTAGGAATAATTCCACTTCTTTAAATAAAAAATATCCAATCTGTAAAGACGGTGATAACAGCTGTCCCAGAAGACAAGTCTTAAACCCTTCGTAGTGTGAAACAGCAATAGCATTTTACCATGTTTCAATAACACCATCCAAAGAGAGAGACTCAGTTCATGGTGTGCTAAGTCAGGTCAGCATTTCATACTGGCATGTATGTGAATCCTTATTGTAAAAGGAATCAAATTTCTGAAACCTCTTTCTTGGGTATTTTCATGCTGGGGCCTAGCTTGTTTACTAAACTCAGATGGTACCAGGAGTTTTCAGGAGAATGGGGTTGCAGTTTTGCCACCTGATTCAAACATGTCTGTGCAGGAGGACTGCAGGAAGGGATGATTCCTCCTGGGATGTATTAATCAAGTGATTCATCAGGCAGCCATACAGACATACACCAGGCCTCTCACCAGTACAAGCAAGTTTATATCAAACTGTTTAAAATTATTTTGGTGAAACACAAGCAGGACTATCTCAAGCTTTATATATATGTTGCTTTCAAGGTTTGGTGAAACTCTTCTTTAAAAGGATGGGTAGAAGTCTGTGAATTCAATAAATTGTGTACCTTTTTCCAAGAAACTGGTTGTAAGCAAAAGCCTCAGACTGCTATTCATGTTCATCATAGGCTTTTTGGGGAACTTGTATGAACACAGCAATGAGACAAATCCAGAATAGTCCAAGGAAGGAATGTGAGAGAAATTTGTTTACTGAGGAAATGTTTGTAAACTGAAAACCAACTTTCTTGGCTCAGAAAACAAACTTTACAATCAGTAAATATTCTTTCTTTATTTGGCATCATCATTTTGCTAATATTTAACAATGCATGTCTAGTAATAATAGTTCCTTACCTTAAATAATTTTAATGAAGTTTAGCTCCTTTCTATATTCAAGCATTCTTTCATTTGAGCCAGGTCATTTACCTTACAAATGTTTCAACTACATCACAGCATCTATATTTCAAAATTTTTTGTTTGAAGAAAGCAGCAAAACCCTGAAGGCTTCCTGAATTTGCATTCCAAGGCTCTGTATTTTTATTTGCTTTATATTTTCTAGAATAAAAAAGTCAGTTTGAGAATGACCTTATCAATTTAGAAAGAACAGTTAAAAAATTTGAGGCAGGAGGGTGAGGGAAATTACTGTTCCAGTATTTCTGTTAATACTAGTTTTGGCATTTTCAACTAGTTTTATTTACATGTACACAAATGTATTTTAATATTTTCCAATGTCCAAAATGTCATTGAAAAGTATTCAAACAGTGTAAAAACTTCTTGTCAAGAGTAAGTTATGACTTGTGACCTACAAAAATGAATTAATTAAATAATATCCCCCATATGAGTTCTCTTCTTCCAAGTAATAACTGTCAGCTAGATGTATTTGATGATTAATCAGTGCTTATTCCTTTAAATGTCAGGTACTCTTGTCTAAAATGTCAAACTAAAACTTTTTGTCTTGTAGTGATCCATTTGAAAAAGGTCTTAAAGGAATTCAGAATAAGTCTAAGGTTAAGAATTATTTTTGTGTTTTGCATCATCTTGAGCAAATTACATTGTTCGTCATATTGTCCAGATGGGGAACTCATTTTGATGCAAATAATTATAACTTTTGAGAATTTTTGGCATGAAATACTATGTATGCTCCCTCTTAAAAAAAAAAAAAGCTTTATGTCTGTTATAGCTCATCCTTTTTTCCAGGAAGGATGCTATATTAAAGTAATGAAACGACAGAACAGTTTCTTTTGTAACCAGGTGTTATGGCTATAGAAATAGAGCACTTGAGTTCCAAGGTGAAATATTTCATGGGCATTTGAATGATCCTGAAAGTGAGAGTAATAATTAAAGTTATTTTGGAACCTAACATAATTATCTTTTGTCTCTAATTCTGGTGGGATTTTTAGGTCTTTCCACTGACATCCCTTTTTGTACCACAGAGAAATTTTGTATTTTCTTGGCCAAACTGATATCCTGATGTAATGATTTGCTTGCTACCTTCTACTGCATCCAAAAAATCTGTATCCAGTTGACATTTCAAGAATTCCTGTTCACTCAGGGTGTTTTCTTTCATCACATGATCTCATTCACCATATATTATATATTAATAAAGCAGGATTATTAGTTCAGTGCTTGCTTAGGTAAAATGCTACTTGTTTCTCATCTCTATGCAGTAAACACACAATAGTCTATTCATAATACTCAAGGGTGAACAGACAGTAAAGAAGCAACAGAAGGAATATGGAGAAAAGGGTTGAGAAGTGAGACCAAGAATTGTGTGAAGGAATGGATAAAAAGTAGGTGATGTGCCTATAGATAGCAAGTTTGAGCCTACTTTTCTTATTCTTCTTGGTGATGCTGAATGGAGCATCTGTGAGACAATACTTAAAACTGAGGAGTCATAAAATGAAGCAGAAGAGTGGACATAAGGAAAACACCCCTCACAGGACAGCCAGGCACTGCAATAGGCTGAGGAGAGGTTGTCTACTCTCTGCTCATGACATTTTTCAAAATAGTGCTTGACAAATCCCCGAACAGCCTGACCTGAACAGGGTCTGTTGATGCTGTCTTAATGAAGGGGTCAAGAAGCTCTCCTGGTGCCCATTCCAACCTGAATGAGCATCTTTCCCATTTTGATCCATGAACATAAGGCAACATTGCTGTTCTCCAGAGCACACACTTTAGTAACCCCTTTAGAAGACAGATTACATCTCTTTATTTTCTGTTTCATAAGGAATACACCATAGTAGTGCGACCTCAAAAGTGAAGCTCAGAGAAACTACTTGGAAAATACATGTCAGCAAATGTACTTAAAGCTGATGAAGTTAATCTTAAGAGCTGCCCAATTTCTGATTCACTCATGTAAATTTTAGTCACTGCTTTTGGGTGTAAATATATTGAATCGTATTCTTATTACATGTTGGGTTTTTCATGGGGGATGAGTATCTTCTTCAATGTACAAGGGGAATAAGTTCAGAGAAACTTATTAATCATTATATATGAGGTAATATATAAGCCAAAAAAAATTTAATGAAGATACTTGAATGTCATAGAAGAGAGTTATATTCTATGCACAGTACTAATACAGACTTGTATAGATGAATCCTCTATGTGAAAGTATTTACATGTAACCAGAAATTGTATTGTATGCATAAATAACCTGATAAGGTACAGTATAGGTTGAAAGAAGTAGCTGATATGTAATTAAGGCTATAAAGTGGAATGATTTGAAGAATGCAAACAATATCTGGATTTTTAAAAATGTATCTTACCACCAGTTTACTTGGTAAGTAAGGATGAACACCTTTGTATCAGAGGACTCTTAAATTCTCCATAGTGTTAATAATAGTGAAATGTGTTTGTTGCTGGGGAATTTTGTTAAAATCTGTAATTCATGTAGGTCAATGAAATATTGCTAAAGATCAAAGAATGGTAAAAATTCCTATTTTTTTTTCTGAATAATATGTATTTGAAGACAATTTTAAACCAGTTATTATAGAATCAAAGAATGCCTGAGATAGGAAAGCACCTCTGTACACCATCTAGCCCAGAATCACCCAGAGCAGATATCTTGGGACAAATCTAGCTGGGTTTTGGTTATCTCCAGGGAGGGACACTTCACAGCGTCCTGGGCAGCTTGTCCATAAGAGGAAAAAAGCACACAAACACAGTCACAAAGCCAGACCCATCCCACTCCACCCCACCAAGGAGGCAGGATGTCCAGCTCATGGGACGTACCAAAATGGTCTCTGTGCAACCTGAGGTCATATTTTGATATTACATTATTTGTGCAGGATCAGTAACGCAATTTGTATTTTTAACAGTGCAGCCTCAAATCATACAACTTAAAAATGAAACCACATTTGAGAATGGGAAAGCAACCCTCATCTGTGAAGCAGAAGGAGAGCCTGTTCCAGAGATTACTTGGAAGAGGGCCATTGATGGAATGACTTTCTCTGAAGGGGACAAGGTAAATCTACCTCTAATATATAAAATACCTAAAATGCATTGTCTGCCTAATCTTCTTCTTGTAAGCAGAAAATTAATTTAGAGACAGATTAATTCTAGATTCCTCTGGAATTAAAAGGAATTGCTATTTTCTAAGGCAGTAAGAGAGACATGGATATTCTAAATTTTAAATTAAAAAAAAAGACAAAAGCAGAAAGCAATCAAGTGTGTAAAGGCAATTCATCTTTGTAGCTTAAATTGTAATATATAATCCCTACTAATGGTTTCAATTTCATCTTGATTGTTATGGCTACACATGGGCCTTCTTCAGAATATTTGGATTCTGTCCAGTAATCCTCAAAATACAGTGAAATTAAAGATATTTTAAATTTAAAAAATCTGAATACGTCATTGATCTTTATTTCCCACTTCTTTTTTCTTCCAAAATTTTCTGTCACAGAAGAGAAACTGAGCCTATTTTCTCATTTTGTCCCCCCATTTTAATATTTTATTACAAAAGTAAGTTGAGTAGAGAAAGATTGCAGTGTGACAATGGAGAAAGTCACTGTGGGAAAAGGAGCTGTAATTAGGTGGAATGGTGAAATGAAAAGGGAATGGTGCAATGCAATTCCTGACCGTGCTTATAGCAAGCTGTGTTTCTACAGAGTTCTCCTTTTTCCCTTTTTAATAATTACTTAAGTACTTGAGCAAGTATTTTCTTTTTCATTTCCTGACATAGACTACAGAATTTATCTGTAGTGGCTGAGGTAAGAGATACCATCTTTCTGGGTAACTAATTCATAATTTGTACTCTAGGTAATTATGTAGTAAAATACTATCTTCTTGCATATTCATAGCTGTTGCTTAAAAAACACACATGGGTGAAAACCTAGATATCAAACATGCTATGAATGGAATTGCATAATGAGTGAGTATTCTCTTATCAATAGGGAATTGCTGTATGTTAAGGAATTATGTATTTTCATTTTTTGTGTTCTAAAGGAGAAGGTCTGCTCTGGTCTTGTCTCTGACTTGACCTTTCCTGGAATTGAGGCAGTTTATGTGAGGCTCTGTCTACCATTTTCCTGTTCTGTGATTTCCACTTTGGAGCAATATAGCAGTATTTATATATTATTTTTTCTAATAGTTTTGCATTAAGACAAAGCAGTTTCTCTCTTCTTTAAATATTTCAAGTTAAAGGTCATCTTTCTGACTTGCAAAGACCATGCTTTGTTCAAAGGTTACAAATGTTAGCCACTCACTTATGTTTGAAATGTTCCCAAATAAACTTTCAATAAAGGATATTGAAAATGAGAGAAAATAGCAGAAAAAGCTCTAAATGTTGGTGCAGTTGAAACCTGAAATTTATCCAGTGTTTGTGTAAGACAGTCTTATATTCTTAATTCCAGCTGCAGGTGGTTAAACTGATGTGTTGCTGGAATATTCTCTGAAATGTGGTTGAACTCAATAATAGTGATAACCAAATGAAAATCTATATTCACTTCCTACTGGTGTGCTGACAGACTCAATGTGGAAGATAAAAAGAATGAGAATAAATACAGTTATGTGCCTTCCTTTGTTCTTGCCAAAGAAAGAACTCTGTGTATTGCTCATGGGAGAGTTTTTTGCTGATTCTTGAATAAATGTTCTGAAATAGTGATTAGTCCTTGACCTATAAAATTTGCTGCTATATTTGCCCCATGGTCCTCCTGCTCTGGGTTGCCCAAAGCCTGATTTGTGCTTTCCTACAAAATTAGGTGAATAGGGAACAAAACTAGCAGTGATTAAATTATTGAATAGTTGTTAAATAATACAGCAGTGTTTTGCACACAGAAAGAGAAGGAAAAGGTGAATTGAAGAAATGAAGGTAGAATATAGAACATAGTCTTAAATTGAACATATTACTTGTATCTGATAACTTTTAAAATAATATCCCATCATTCAACAACATAAATTAAGCATAAACATAAAATTATTTTCTTTATTCAAGGGATTCATATTTTGAATTTTTGTGTCAGTTTTTTCTTGATATCAACTGCACCTTAGTCATAATTTCTGTTGAATTAAGAGTATCTTTAGGGGATGATTTTTTGCACAGAGGATGGAAAAGCTGTTCAAGCAATAATATTAACATAATGATCCTTAAAAGAATACGTGAAGTGCTGTTCCTAATTTTTTAATTTTACTTTTGTTAACTTTAGAATGTAATTCTTCAATCATATGGTTCTTATTTTACTAAAATGTAAACGTACCTCATGTGGATTAGGAAGACTGCTAAATGTGAGATCATTCTGAGCTTGCATGGATTCAAAATGCTTTCTATCCAATGATAGATCTTATAACTGGGACATAGACTTTCCTGAATTTTGAATTTATTGTGTCCAGAAGAATGGAAAATATGCACCAAAGTCATAGATCAAAGAAGCAACCCAGCTGGGCTTAAGGAGGATAATATTAATGACTATGAGCTGTATAATTATCTCTTTGGAAAATACAGCTTTGATAAAGGATTCTCAGAAGTGTGTATTTGAAAGTTGAAGCCAAGTGAGTTCAAACCAGAAGCAAAGAAGCCTTTTCCTCTGTCCTTTTATCATTTAGCTCTTACAACAATCTACCACACAGTGTGTGGTCTCTCTTTCATTAAGAATTTGAAATAAAGGGGTCTTTCCCTTTCCTCTGACTTCTCTTGAAAGTTAAATGAGAAGTTTTCCAGGAGGTCACATTAGATGACCTCTGTAATCACTTCTGTGTCTGTATAGCCCGTAAATACATGGGGGGTGGGTAAGGCTGAATAAACAAATGGCAGTGAGTGCTGGAAGGTGTTTGTCTCACCATTAAAGGTGTAAAGATGAAAATGGAGGCTTAGTCCAAGGCCACAGCTTCATCTGCTGTTTCAGTGCCAAGCTAAAGCTCTCTGCTTGTAGCCTGTGTCCTTCCAGTCCCGGAATCCCCAGCCCTGCCTGTCCTCATGTGCCAACCTGGCCGTGCCCCTTCCAGCTGGGATTTCAAATGGCAAATTCCCACGGACCACTGTGCATCCAGCAGGCCTGGCCCTTTTCCCAGGGAAAAGAGGAAAAGGCAGGAGAAGAGCTGCTGTTTTTAGAACAGGAGGAAAGATAGTGATTGGATGCAATTTGGCATAATCAGTTATGAAATGGATTTTGGGCATGCACATAGGTCTCTACACACATCCCTGAAGGACAGCACATCCTGATTGCTGATACAAAATTGTCACTGATTCCTGTGTGCGCCGCACAAGTGTGAGGACAGAGTTTAGTGCCCCACTTTCATAGCATCTAATTCTAGCAGAAATATGAATGCTGATCAATGTTAAATGTAATTAGCATTTCAAGCCCTGTTTTGGAATACAAATCACAATAACAGATGGAGCTTGATATGAGACAGTGGCTCCACTGTATGCAGCATGTGTCCAAAGAGGCATATGCTGCATACCCTGAGGAATTTATGATCTAAACACATAAAATGAATGAAAGGAGCCAATACAGAGAGGTCTTAGGTGCAACTTGTGTGTTGGATTTAGGGCAGGATTTTATACTCTAGTTTTTACTGTACTATGTATTCTATTTCATACAGATTCACTGAATGTCTCTTAAATACCTTTTACTATTCTCCTTGTACCACCAAGGAAAATCCAACCTGTGATTTTTAATTTTTTAATGAACACTGCATAAACAGTTGAATTCTGCTTTTTTCCATTGCAACAATAACCTGGCTCTCCCTGAAAAATGTCCTGTGACATTGTTTCTAAATATTGCAGAGTTTAGACTAATAATTTATTTATTTTCCAAGTTTGAATTGATATTGTATTTGCATGCAAATCATAAATATTTGTAGAGTGGGGCTTGTATAGTTTTTAATAGTTTTCATGATCATGCAATAGATAAAGGTAATCTTTTTCTTTGAAAGGTCAAGTCTATTTTTTCCCAAGCCTATTAACTTCACTTCAGCTATTACAAATGTTAATAAAAAGAATATTATATTTTTTACTCCCTGTTTATGTTGGTTTTCCCTGCACAAAAAGAAGCAGTCTTACAATGTCAGTGAAATATATTGTCCTTCTTTTTGAAATGTGATTGCTATTAAATTCTTGCTCATCAAGGACCAGGTCTTTATTTGAAATGAGTCACAGAAAACAGAGATGTATCTAGGGTATTTTAATTGATTCCAGGAAATATCTTTTCTTTTTTTTTTTCCTGAGCTATCCAAATCCTGCTCTTTGTGAATAATTCTCCTTTGAATATCTGGGAAATATACAAGGCCAATCTCTTTTCTGTATTGGAGAAAATTGTTATAACCTGTTTCACCTACATATTGTGGTGAAACAAGTTATAACCTAGGGAAAAGCTCCTACTTACAATATCATATGAATGTTTTTGTTGTTGCAGTATTGGCACAGGCCTGCAAACCAGAACAATTTATGTAGCCAGCCACAATTGTGTTTGATGATGCAATTGAAACACTGCAAACAATTCAAGCAGGCATCAAAGTTCTCTTCCTTTTTGTTTTTAAGCCCCAAATGAATTTTAGTGGGCTTCACATAATAAGACTATGAAATTAGAGAGCAAGAATGTTGTGACAGGAAGAAGGTAAATAAATGAACTTGACCAAGAGGGTCACTTATATGTTAGATAATTGATGCTGTTGAGATATATAGAGGCTTTTACCCTGCGACATAAGCAAATAAAGGGAATAATAGAATTTCAGGAGCCATCTGATCCATGGAAATCTGAATGCTTTTTGGTGTTCCTTCATCTATCTCTAGTTTTGGGAGGTGACAGTATTTGAGCAAGAAGATTGATTTTGCAGGAGTAGGATTGTATTCAGTTAGAAAGAAAGAGCAGCTTTCCTGTGTGACCTGAGGAAATAGGAAAACTGTGAGCCAGTATGGAAATTTTCAAGTTCTCAAGTAGCTCAATCAGTTGTCTGAGCTCCCCACAGTCCTTTGAGTTACAGTATCTGCAGTGATGTGGAAATCAAGCCAAAAATTAAGCTAGTAATTAT